CAAGAGATCTGGAAAAGCACTTGGACACAATAGGAATGGGTAGAATCTCAATTTACCAATTAAAAAAGTTGCATTAGTTGAAACAGTGCATACACGAGCCGCCCAGAGTCACCCTCTGGGGGAGATGGGTCACATATACATTTAATAAATAATAAATAATAATAATACATTACAGTGATATTTTTAACTAGCCTACATCCTTGGGAAGAATCAAATAGTCAAAAGAATCAAATCCAGTCAGAGCTATCTGGTGGATTGTGTGTAAATAAGAACAACAATGATGTTTTAGCTACTATTTTCTCCCTATAATGTCATTTCTAACGCAAGTGTTGATGCAAAAGTATGGCATCTACAATAAATTGCCAGCAAGTGATCATGCAGCACAATTAGAGTGAAATAACTTGGGACTCATCCACTATGAATCCTTGTTGTATCCACATAGGACTGGGATGAGACATTTTGCCATCAACTGCAAAAAGTCCCACTTTGCATTTACACATTATACTAAGCCATGGTTTGCATAACCCTAGTTTGTCATCTAAACCACCACTGGCTGTTTTTTTCAAATCATGCTAAGATAAGAATGCTTTCCTTTTTTGAGCCTGAGGAGCACATTTGATCTTTTGATTAGTGTGTGGTGACTGCACTCGAAAGAGCAGTGAATGAAGCCAGGACAAAATTATACTTGATTTCATTTGATTTAAATATTTTTTTTCTTTGTCTCATTCAAATTACTATCTAGTAATAACTTTTGGAAGCTCTGAGGAAGAGAAGGCACTCCTGAGGCTTTCAGAGTCTGTCTGGAACAATATACATCTCTGTGCTTGGCCATAAACTGATTTACAAACCATAGTGCTGGCTGTCTTCAAACAACACATTGTCAAACATTATGGCTTAGTGCGAACCCAGCCTTAGATTGTAATATTACCCAAACCTTGTGCAAGGAATCCTCAGGTATTACCTGTGGATCATGGCACATTGACCCTAGTGCTATGTACTACTTAGAATTGTCACCTGTTCTTTTAGCTGATTGACTTTATCTTGGAGAAGCTGTTTCACAAGCCTCAGTTGTTGCTCAACATCCATCATGCGTTTCTCCATAGTCTGTAGTAGCTGCTCACATCCACCCTGTAATGGAGTATATGTGCATGAAATGAAAATTAAAACACTGAAGATCTTGGTGATTGGCTGTTTTCTTGCAACATAAGCTTTACAGGGGAGAGAGAATTTTGAAGGCAAGAGGCTGAGAAATAGTTGGGTTATTTGTACAGATTAAAAAAAAATTCTGAAAGAAAAGCAAGCCACAACCACAAATTGCACACAAACACACCAACTTTTTGTGTATATGGGATTCTCCATTTCAAATTTGTTCAGTTGTTTATTAGATTTGTTTCAATCAAATAACTCTTGGCAGCTTACAAGATTATCGAATGCATTAAAATGTCCACAATATAATATTATTAATAGGAAAAAAACCCATAGAATATACATGTAACAAAATACATACAAAAATCTATCAAAAACAAATTTTTAAATAAAAATGAACAGATGGTAGCATTCACAACTGATACTGTTCTAAATAATTCAGTTTTGAGCAGTTTACAAAATTCAAATAAAATAGGATGATCATATCTCAAGGAGAAGAGCATTTCACAGGGTAGGAGCAGCAACAGAGAAGCAGGGCCTGTGAGCCTCCAGCCTTTTCACCTCATGAAAATGGAGGACAACTAGCAGATTCTCCTGGGAAATCTGCATTAGGCAGGTCAAGACTGATTGAAGATGAACTCGGAGGTACCTTGGAGCTAAACCATGTAGGGCTTTAAAGGTCAAAATCAGCATTTTGAATTGTACTCAGAGGCCACAGGAAGACAGCACAAGGCCCAGAACACAAGTGTAACATGCTCATGTTGGCATATACCAGCTGGGCTGATATATTCAAGACTAGCGGAAGCTTCCAGGTGACTTTCAAATGCAGACCCACTGAACATCAACTGCAGTCTTGGTAATTTTCCCCAGGAAAGGAATGTAAATACTTAGTAATATGGTAGTTATCAAATACATCCAGATCCGAGGAGAACTGTTTAAAGGAGTGAGCACATCACAGACTCTTTCAAGATGGACATGATCCATACACACAGGGAAATCGCACAAAACTGAGCAGAAGGAGGGTCTTTGATTGAACAAAATGTGTGAAACTTTTACAAATATGAAGTTTGAATCCTTTGTGCTACCAGTTTTCCAGGAAGTACCAAGCACACACTCTACTTTTCAGTGGATGATGGAATATTCTGAGAGATATGATGGGAATCTGATGCTGAAACTAAAGAAGCTTAAAAGCCCTACTGGATCAGACAAAAAGTCTACCTTTATTAGCATCTCATTTTCCCTTAGGAGTCAGCAAGAATGACCTTGAAGACAGCAACTATTCCTAATTGTCAATCTCGCTTCTAATTAGTATCCAGAGCTAAAGTCTCTAAGTCAAACTTGACTCTGGTGACTTCATGGGCATGTCCATATAGTTTTTTAATAGAAAAGAATATCTGTAGCTCAAGGTTGAGCTGTGGAGTCCTTGGTGCACTCTGAGCTTGATTGTTTCATTATCAAACTAGGTAACATCATCAGTGCCGGTGAGTGTGGAGTTTGCTCTCTGTTTATATACAGAAACTTGTTCGCCATTGTTGGTGGGGGTATGGTTTTCTCCTTGGTAGTTCCTTGATTAGTGTTAATCCAGTAGCCCAAGAAGAAAAAACAGGAGTCATCTACAACATACAGTGTAAGGACTGTAATAGCCACTATATAGAACAGACAGGCAGAAGACTAGCAGAGTGCATCCATGAACACCAACTAGTAGTCAGAAGACACAATGAAAACTCCTTAATCTCAC